GTTGACACCCTCGTAATATATATATATATATAAGTGTGTTTGTGCGTGTGTGTGTAAGCAGATATATTTCACAACACTACGTATTACAAACAGCGCAAACATGGAATTTTTACAATATTTGGTAAACCCAGTTGACCTGTAGTGATTTTTGTAAAATGACTCCAAAAAATACTTCATCAAGTCGGATCATTCCATCAACATGATTCTTTAGGTATCAAAACTGAGTTTAACTTCATATAAAGCAGATGAAGAGAGACCAAAGAAGGTTTCTCAATTTCCTCTTTGAACTCCATGAAATCCTATTGCACTAACCTTAATTTTGGTATTAACATCTTCTCTATAGGTACGTAATTGTATTTCTTCTTATATATAAGTACTAATTAGTTTTATCGAATTTATACTTGAGAAATTCCCCCATCCTAGTAACTAAGCGAGCTATAAACTTTAAAAATCGAGTTTGGATACTCGCTCGCGGTGAGCACAGCACTGGTAGCCATTATGTAGTTTTGTGTTTAATAATAAAACAAACAAACTTAGTAAATTATTGTTTTGAGCGTCTTTATTTTAAGGCATGCAAAAAATATCCGTTGTGCACTAACGTATCTCTAATCCTCATTCATAAGATATTTTTGATGTACGTGGATTTACATGTGAACAACGTTGTTCTGCAACTTGATTTTCCAAGTCATTTAATCCTTTTCTCACACTCCTCCTTAAAAAATCAAAAGTATTACATTTCTTTCTCTTCATCTCCATTTCGCCCCAGTATCCCGATGACAATGATGGGCTTGAGGTTTACAAGGCTAAAATCCGGGGTTAGATTCCCCACTGTGTACATAGCCCAGATAGCCCAAAAGTAGGAAAGTTTCTAATCTAAAAACGATCGGGCTACTTGTTTTCTTTAAGAAAATTGAACCAAAAGAAATAAAAGGTTTTGTCAGGGCTAGTTTCAAAATTTCAATGTATATGTAAAAATGGCTATTCTTTGAAATTATCTTAACAATTTTGGGTTTCATTATTCAACAAAAATAATTCAAAAACACGTAATTCTCCGATTACTTCATAACAACGTTTGTCTACACTCCGACTAATGGTGCAGGGGCTGTTTTTTTTTTCTTTTTAGTTAATTAAATTAGTCGTCCTTAATCTGGATTATTAAATATATGAAAACTACCTCTAAATTTGGGACCAAGTGTGACCAAGTGGTCAGCGAGCCCAAACCGTGAATCTGAGCATTCACGGTTTGCGACCTGTTAATCCGAAATGCGCTCCGTACTTTGGGGCCATAGATGTGCTATAAGAGTAACAGTCAAATCCTACTATTCGACCAGACAACAGTACTCTAAGAATATGCGATGGGTACCTTTCCTAACAGCTCAAACTTAGAAATGGCTAAACACAGGTAGCCCTTGTGTAGCAATGCGCGAAACTGAGAAACAAACAAAGCATCAAAAGTTTATAATGTAAATTTGTACGTGTTATTCATCGTTAAAAATACTGAACGCATCATTTTTTGTTGTTGTTGTTGTCTAAAGTTATGCTGTCTTTTGAATAGTGCAGACACAAACAATTTAATTTTATAACAACCACATTATATAAACCCTCTTCTCCTCCAAATCACGTTTCAAAAATCCAAATGTACTAATAAAGTAATATACTATAAAAAACCCGTCATTAATTATATAAAACTTTTCTGGTTAAATAGATATTTATATCAATATAACCTCATATATTTAAAAATATTTATACCCCAACACTTGTAGTGTGTACTCATTTAATTATACTGATGCCTTCTTAGTCTAATACTCCAAATATCCAGTAGTTAATTAAGCACGTGTCAGAACATGAAATGAAACTGATCCCTGTTGATGATTATCTAAGCCTCTAAGGTAAGAATATGTTTACATAAAGTAAACTTTATGTCCTGGTCAGTTAATAAACACTCAGATGTATGATATATTTATATAGCAGCCTTATTTTTCGATTCAATGAAGAAAACTGAAAGAAATACAAAAGAAGATGTCTCCAAGGGTCAGCAGTGAAAATTCTTTTGTAAAGTATCGAAATTTATTATGTTCGAAAATATTCGACTGTGGAACTCTGCTAGAAAAGAATCCTGTGCTTGGACTTTTTTAGATTAAATATAAAGCAGAAAGGCAAAAATCAAAGTTAAACTCCAACAACGTATCTTATGTAGTGTAAAGAGAAAGAAGCAAAGTGTAAAAAAATTCACAAAAATAATTTAAAAAACATTTAACAAAGTGATAATAACGCAAGATACTTTAACAAATTTCAAACTTAGATGTTGAACAAAACACATTTGAATTAAAAATCGACCGAAGAATAAAATAGTATATAACGTTTCCTGTAAATACACACTTAATGCGCATGCCTTCTTAGCTTCTACGTCTATCTTCCAACTTGAGTTTTGGTCACGACATAAATGCGCCAAAAGGTATGAATAAGCAGTGGACGCAAAAAGTCATCAGAAGCTATTATTACAAAAATACATAATAAAGAATTATATTAATTTTTGCATAGAAAAATATATTTACTTTATAATGCTATAACGTGATCAAATAAAGGCAAGGAATAATAAAAAAATAAGCTACTCTAACCCAGCGCTATCAAAAGACACTAAAGATGATCTGTAAGAGCCTTTTATCACTGGTACACTGAAGTGATCCAAATCTAACAGTATCAAAAACTCTCATCACCGATTCCCCTCTAACCTACAAAAGAATACAAGGCAAAACTACATTTATTATGTCAGTAGTTAATACCACATGTGATTTATTGATTTTAGCTAATGTTAAAACTTGGTCGTAGGAGTAATCGGGAAAGCACGACTAACTGATACATCTCGTCTGAAGTTGGAAACATCTTTCAAACAAAAGATCAAGTATTATAGATGTTACTATGTCAACATATCAAAACTAACTTCCTTCCCAACCTTTGTTTTTACAGACCTTACACAAGGTAGGAAAATAGAACACAATACCGAAAAATGTATCTTTCTCGTGTCATACACTAAAAACATATTCATGCATACATTGCATGTCTGTGAATTGTTATCGTAACCATAGCGACGACATGCATAGACAACATATATATATATATATACATTCGAATAATAAGTTTCACTCTAGAAAATATCAAAATGAGATAAATAAAACAAACAAAACTAAATGATGCCCATGCACGAGAGATATCGAAACGTTTGTTTTTAAATATTCAACAATTTCAGCTACAAAAACAACAACTTATTACGTTAAACAACTTCAGAAATACTAACAAAAACAACAACTTATTACGTTAAATAACTTCAGAAATACTATGAATAAACGCATATAAGTCAGATAACAAAACAACGTTATTACAAATGATTAAGGATGGTATATACATATGTATTTATTTATATTTTGGTAATATACTACAATATTGTTTTACACAACATTCGTTTTTGCCAAATAAGCAGCTTTCGTCTTTAATCTAGGCTACCTAATGATCCATTATTAATTAAATGCCTTTCGTCTAGGAAAGTTAGTGACTCATTATTGAATTAAATGTCTTTCTTCCAAAATTTGTAATAACTTATTATTAACCAAATGTCAATCATTTTTTACAGTCTCATCTATTGTCCAGTTGGAAATTTTGTAACAAATGTCCTTGAGACTCTTTGCAATAAATAGTTTATTACTTTATATCAAAAGAGTTATTCTTTCAACTGCGAAAATATCAAAGGTGATTTTTCGAGTATTTTGTTCGACGTCAACAGTGTATATACGATTATCTTACCCAAATATTTATTGAATTACTATGAAAATATTATGACTGAATAAGAATCATCCTTTAATCTCTAGTGTCTTCATTATCCAATATTTTAAAATTGTGCTTCTGTCATTTCAATTTGTTGTGGTAAATAAAAATAAGCAAAAAGAAAGAAAGGCTTTCTGGAAGAAAGTTGGAATGTTTTGGTAAAATTCGTGATCTCGTGACAATTTTACTTTTATTTTATTCATTCTCTGTTAGACAGCTATCTCTGTTTCTCATATCTTTCAAAAGTACGGAATGACAACTTGCCAGCGTTGCTACCGTTCTTAACAAAATAACGTTTAAATGGTTTGATGTTTTCGGTTTCCCATATATCTATGTATGTGTGTGTGTATGTGTATATACATATACAAATTTCGAATTGTAATAACACATGATATGGTTCGCCCATCTAATTTTTAAACATGATATGCGAAATTCAAAACAGTATTTTACATTAAGCATATAAATCAACATGAAGAAGCGAGCTACCATGAAGAGAATTATATATCTTACGAGATATTTTCTTATGTTTATAGCAATACAATGTAAATGCGAGATTCTGCTTGCTAAATAAATCTGGTATTGGAAAATATTGCATACATATTTAATATCCAGCATACAAAAATCGCGATTAATCATTTCTATTCTCTTAAAAATACTTTCATGCAATGATTGATTATCAACTAAATATTTCTTGTCTAGAATATATAATGACTCATTATTAAACAAATGGCTTTCGTATAAGATATAAAATGACCAATTATTAATCAAATGTATTTCGTCTAAGATGCTTAATGAGTCATTAAACTAAATGTCTTTCATCCACGATATGTTATGACCTATTATTAATCAAATGCCTTTCGTCTAGGACATGCAATGACTCGTTATTAATCAAATTATTTTATCTCTAATAAGCAAGGACTCGTTATCAACCAGATGCCTTTCATATTGAATGTACAATGAATTTTATTAACCAAATATCTTTCATCTAGAATATGCAATGACTCGTTATTAATCAAATTGCCTTTCGTCTAACAGTCTAGGTAATATGACGGTACATGCCCATGTCTTAACAAATACATAATACTCATTATAATAATTTCCTATATAAAATATTACAGTTTTTTTATTTGATAACAGACACAATAAGTTGTAAGTATTATAAAATAAAAATAGATACTTACGCAATGAATTACAACGCCGAATGATATTATCCAAGAATGTATTCTGAGGTGCAACTAGGCCCCTTCTTCCCCCAGGCATTGTTCACTCTGTTCTATTAAGAATAAGAGGCTTAAGTTCGTGGTATGGATTCATCTAAAGCAAACCCTACTTAGTTGAAATTATTTACCCATTGCGTTGCTGCTACACTTGTAAATAACTAGAATGCAGAGTTGCCAGGTTCTTGCAAAAAATCTTCTTGAAATTTTAGGATTTACATATCACGTTTTAGTTAACTATTACATGAGTAGACGGTATAACTAACATAACTCTAATCACGTGGCTTCTACTTCTAGACTGTCGAGCCGCTAATAGGCATGTGTGTAACTTGTAAGGATGTTACTTAATGCGCCGCTAATATTGTCCTGTGGTCTGCTATGTGTTGCACAACATAGCTCCAAAGGTATCATACATGAGTTAAAAAGGCCTTCAAATTATTTAATATGTTTTCTACTTAGTCCACACGAATCTATCGATTCCACGAGGCTGCGGATGAACAAGCGGAGAGAAAACCCAGCTGGAACTGTGAATACTTTTTGGAGAACTTGTTCAGCGCGCGTACAGCGCCGTGCATCGTTAAGTTTGCGCATGTCAACAAGTAGCGTTACTGCACTAAAACAAATGCGCATGCTAGTAACCATGGTAACTGTAGTTTGTGACCGTTTGGCATGCCGCGTTTTGTCCTAGGCAAATAAAGATACATTGCAACAGCGCTGACAGAGCCAGTGAAGGGCTTTTTGATATATCTAATTTATTTGCAGCTTAGTTTCAAAGTGTTTGGTTACTGTAAAATGCGCTAAACATACAAATAGCATATAAGATATTAATGTACGGTCAAAAAATAAGATGAAACATTAATAATAACTAATCTTTATAGTGACTTGAATTGAGCATTGACCCTTTTGCGTATGTCACCGGAACTTATAAAGTGGCTCTTTTGTTGGTCTCTAGTTGTATCATTTTCTAAAACGTAATATAACGTTTTCAAGTTGTAGCCCATACTTAATGTAGAAATGCTAATATATGTTGCGTGGAATTGTAGCAACGGACCAAGTGCTGGTCCTGTGTCGTATCACTGATAATTTCACGTTTTGTATGTGTGTGCCAACATAACACATTGTTAGACTAGCTGGAGTACCAGTCCCCTGGATGGAAGTTATGTAAATTCATGATTAATGAAAGGTTACCTTAGGATATGAGAAGTTGCTTCCCTTATATGTAATTGTAAAAAATAAAAAATAAAAAAAAAAAAACTAGCTAAACACAAAAGGTGAAACCGCAAATTTATAAAAATCTCCGCATGAACCCAATGAATCTCCATACCAAATTTGTTGAAGATTCACACACAGAAGGTGGGTTATTGGGAAAAAACTCCAATAAAAACCTCAAAACTGAACATTTGTATGTATCTACCCATGAACCCAATGAACCTCCTTACCAAATTTGGTGAAGGTCCATCTACAGGGGGCGAAGTAGTGGTAAAAAACGCAAACATGCCTATAAAACCCACAAAACGAAAAATACAAACCTAAAATTTGTATGTACCTACGCATAGACGTAATGAACCTCCATACCAATTTTGGTGAAGATCCATCCAGACACTGCGAAGTAGTTACATGGACATAGAGCACACAACAGACAGAACTGTTATATTTATATAGATATAGTAACATGACGCCTAATGGCACTGGTGTTAATTAACTGGAACAGCTTTCACTTTTTGAGCACATATAGCTTTCGTTTTCAAGTTCAGAGTTTTCTTTTAATTTTATCATGATATGGTAATGGTCAACTCAATCGATCTCGTGCATTTTCAAATTTAATACAGCTCTCTGCGGAGACAGCCTGAACTGTTGAAAAAAATGGATTATAAAACATCAGTAGATTTTTGTTCCAAAAATTGATGAATTTATAAAACTTATGTCAGAAATAACGACAAACATAAAATGAATTAAATAACAAAATCAGGAACTAGTGTTGCAAAACAAAAATATGCAACAGGAAATCAACATTTTAAAATAACAAGTAACTGACCTTCAACAGCATTTAAGAAATATGGATATCGAATTCAAGGGGTACCAGAAGTACAGGGAGAGAAATTTAGCGATATTATTCAAGTAGTTGCAAAGGCAAGTAATATCACTGTAAACGATGAAGATATTCAAATAGCCCCTAGAGTAACACCAGGAAACACAAAAAGAAACTAGGCCAATTATCGTACAGTTTTCGAATAGACAACTTAGAAATAAATGGATTCAACAAGAAGTGAAAAATGTGATCAAAACGACTGATATGAATGAACACTATAAGGAAAGTGTAGTGTTTATAAATGAACATCTAATAACTAAATTTAAAAAAAAAATTATATAACTAAAAACGCTGCCAGAAAAAATACATATACGTATATTTGGATTAAAGTAGGTAACATTCTAGTAAGACAATAAAAAAATGAAAAGGTAATAAGAATTAAAAGTGAGCAGGATTTAACTAAATTATAATATGGTGTTAAAAGAAAAAGAATATCTTCAATATTATTTTGAATGATGATTCAGGAATTGGTTATGAATAATCCGTATAAGAATTATTTCTTTGTTAGTATGATTAATATAATACAAATGAACATATGTTGTCTAAATAAGAATTTTTATTTACAGGAATCTGCGTCAAATATGAAGAGTTAGATTTTTATAATATAAAGGGATATGGAAAATACTATAAAGTTAGAGATTATTATAAATCTGGAGGTAGTTTAGTATTTGTAAGCAATGAAATATATGCAGAAGAAGAAACGGTTGAATTTAATACAGCTGAAGTATTAGACTTTTAATGCACATATCAAAAAACCCAATTCAATGTTATAGCAATTTGTAGGTTTCATCAATATAGTATACAACATTACATTTAACAACTAAAAAATGTTTAATGAAAATAAAATGAAAAACGTGTACATTGTAGGAGACATAAATATAAATATATACAACCCAGATTATATCTAAGTTCATTTAGTTATTTTTTGTAAATATTGCAAAAGAACTTATAAGTAAAAATTGTTGTAACTGTTTTAAAACAGATCAATTAGATGAAAATAGATATAAAACTAATATATTTGCTAATTCAATGTATCTTATACCAACTGATAAAATGAAATAAAAAAACTATAAATTCTTTAATAAATAAAAAATCTGCAGGAAAGGATAAAGTTACAGCAGAAATTATCAAAAATGATATTGAAAAATTGACACCAATAATAACACATTTAGTTAATATGTCAATGAAAAAAGGAGTTTTCCCAAAGATTTCAAAAATTGCCGTCATTATCCTAAAATTAAAAAGAGGAGATAAAGATGATTTAAACAATTACAGACCGATTGCTTTATTATCAGTTGTATCAAATATTCTTGAGAAAGTTGTTAAAAAAGAATAATAAAATTTTTAGATTCAACACGTTTTTTTTTCTCAAATTATCAATTTGAATATCGTGAAAATATGAATAAAGAAAATGCACTAGTTACAGTGGTTAATAAATCAATCGATTAATCATTTCAAAATAACTTATGCTCTTTTTTCTAGATATAACAAAAGCTTTTGATAAGATTTCAAAAGAACTTTCACTAAAAACTTTATAAAATTGGAATAAGAGGTATTGTTTTAAATTGGTTTAAATCAAATACATCAAATAGAAAGCAAATAGTTAAAATTTATAATGTTATAAATGATGAAATGAATTTAACTGCTGGAGTACCTCATGAATCAAGTATTCGAACCATTAATATTTTTAATATAGTTTAACGATTCCTGCGAAAGTAGGTTTAATGGAAAAATAACAAGTTTTGTAGATGACTCGATATTAATTTATAATGGACATTCTGATAACGAGTTCATTAAAAAATTAACAATGATATAAAATATATAAGGAGGTGGTTTAATGAAAATTCATTGTGCTTAAATGTAAAGAAAATGGCCTGCATGATATTTTCTCTAAAAAATCTAATAATCTTAAACAAACCAATAATTTATGAGAATTGCATTTGTAAACATTTATCTATTAAAAAGGATATGAAAGTGTCAAGTATCTTGGAGTAATATTAGATTATAGAATAAATTGGAAAGAACACATAAAAATAACAGCGAGAAATTAAAGATATAAGCAGTAAGATTTTATTATATAAAAAATATTTATCAAAGAATGAAATAAAAAATATTTATTATGCTTGGTTTGATTAAATTATACAATATTGTATCACCTGTTGGGGAAGTACCTATCTAACATACTTAATAGTTATAATACAGTTAAAAAAAAAGAATATTATAAGATGCATATTATCACTATATGACCATACTAAACTACAATTGCGCAAATTATATACTTATAAAACACTAAATTTATTCAGTAAAGGTATTCAAAATTACGAAAAAATGAAATTTGTATACGAAACGAGAGCTGAAGTACATGGGAACTGAAAAAATCCTAAAGTAAACAAGAAAATATTTAGATAACGTTATTTGTATCAAGCACCAAAATTACCTAATAATATTCCAAATGAAATGAGATCGTTGTTCGGTATAAAAAAAATAAAATATTAAGTTAGCATTAAAGAAATGGATAGCCAATATAGTTTGTTTGTAGTTAAGCACAAAGCTACACAAAAGGCTATCTGTGCTCTGCCAACCACGAGTGTCAAAACCCGGTTTCTAGCGTTGTAAGTCTACAGACACCCCACTGTGCCGCTGGGGGGGGGTTAGCCAATATAGAAAAATCAGAAAGTCTTATTTAAAGTTTATAAAAAAATAAAAATTGTTCAAAATGCAAATAATTTTGTAAAGGAAATATTAGTGATTTATTTATTTACTGTTTAATAATACATTTATTCAGGATCCATACTCGAGAAATCCTGTGGATCTATTTTTCTATTTTATTTGTATTTCTTCTATTGTGTGTACTTTGAATTTTGAATTAAATTGAATTGAATTGAAAATTGAACTGAAAAAAATATTAAAAGAGATAAGTGGTATCCAACAAAAGGCTCCAGGTTTTGTTTCGGACAGTTTGAAGAAGAATGTTTTAATATAACAGGTCAAAATGTTTGTTTAAAAGATGATGCTTTGCCCACTGTATTTTCAGTTCCTGAGCACATGCAATACGTATATTATTATTATGACTTAGAAGTTTTCTGTTCCAATTATTCAAATATTTTTTTAGACTCTTGAAAATTAGGTTTTGTGTCTATTCTGGGAAAATGTCTGTTGATGTTCAGCTGTATAGTTTTATTTGAATTCGTTATTACATAAAGCTTTTTAATTGTTGAAGATGTAAACATTTAGAATACGGTACCAAATAATATAAGAGAAATTAACTCTTTAAAATGGTTTGTTTAAAAATCTAGCTATTAAAGTGATAAATTACCCAGTTATTTTCGTTGTTAATTAA